GTGGTGGATGAGACATTAAGCAAACCTTAGTTTGGTGTGCAAACAGCTTTTACTGAGCCTTTTACAGCACTCAGCCCAAGTTCTTCCCCTTTTTTCTCTATCTGTGACAGAGCAAATCAGTGTATGGTATCATCACTGCTGCTGCAAAATTAAAAATAAAAACTGAAACAATCTTGTAAAAATCAGCAAAACTTTACAGCATAAAGTTTTTTTCATGGTTTGTCTTAGGACTCTGTCAGAAGTTTGTCAAAGTCTTACCTTATATTTTTGCCGAGCTGACTGCTGAAACTCGTTAAAGACAACAGGATGAGTTAAAGTGTTTTATGACTTCATAAAGAGGAAGTATAAATCTCAGGGGTGACAGCTGGAACCAAGTGTGAAAAGAGGTAGTGAGCGTGAACTTTGGGAGGAAACCTTGTGAGTGCAAAAGTTTAAAAATATATTTCAAATGTACTATTTAACTGTTTTCAGACTTTCTGAACTAAAATTGGAAAATTATATTAGGCTAAGTTGTATCAAGAGAAAAATAAACTTAAATTTAATCACATATACTATTTGTTATCAGGAAAAAAAACTGGCTGGAGAAGTACCAGTATTATAAAATTATTATCATGCACATGGTTTCAGTTCCAGAACATGCTTCAACCGCTGTGTGCACAGTACCATGACCATGATTTCCTGTTTCCTTTTGGCACACATAAACAACTACCATGCCGAGTTTGTAGGCGAGCATATATATTTATATATACATTAAAATTGCACTTGTCTATGTTTTAATAGGATGTTACTGGAGAAAGGTAATTGTAATCATATAAATAATAAATAACATTTTACATTAATAGTGTACAGTGTCCTGTCTTCCTCCCCTCAACCCGAACCGCTCGCTGCTAAAATGGCCAGACGAGCATAAATATTTTTTGATTTCACACAGTGCTGATGGTAGTTAAACTGAAAAACGGGATACAGGTGGCTCTGTTGTACATCATCATCAGTCAGCAGTAAGGGTGTACTTCGTTTTTCACGCAGACTTCTTCTGCATTTTGGCTTACTTATTAATAAATAACCTAGTGCACTGTGTCATACTTGTAGGGAAACAGACATAGCGATCTGTTTCAACGTTTCAAACTGACACCAGTCCATGTCGACAGGGACAAAAAATTTGAGAGACTGATGATGACAGTACACAGGGTCATTCACCATTCATTTATATCATTTTTTTTCTCTTATGGCTCGGGAGTTGATGCATTGATTACTTCTTGGTTGAACTACTGTAAAAGACTTCAGTTAATCCAATTTGCTGCAGCAAGAATACTAACAGGGACTAATATCTATTTAGTCCCTGTTAGTATTCTATATTGGCTTTTCTTCACTGGCTCCCTGCTAAATCCAGAGATGAATGTATACTCCTTCTCCTCTTGTATAAACAGGTAGTATAAGGTCATCCTTAATGACCTTTTAGTACCATATCACCCTATTAGAGCACTTCCCTCTCAGACTGCAGGCGCTGACTTGTTGTTCCTAGAGTATTTAAAAGTAGAATGGGAGGCAGAGCCTTCAGTTTTCATGCCTGCTTTCAACCAGCTCCCAGTTTGAGACAGACACCCTCTCTACTTTTAAGATTGGGTTCAAAACTTTCTTTTTTGTTGGCATGATTTCCACAACATTTTTTGGTGAAATCCTCCATGTTGTTTAGCAAAATTGCAGGAAACAACCTGTTTTTTTAAACCAGAGTGATGTAAATGGTCGCTTAACACATTTAAATGAAAAATCATAAGACAATAAAAAGGCACAAACATGGTAAATAATTCCAGTACAGTAACTTTACTGGAGGTGAGGACTAGCTACAGTTGCCCATAGCAGCACATGTGTCAATAACAATGCCATGAAATAACTGTGTGGCAGGGAGGATTAGGACCAGGACTCATGAGTCAAGAAATGAACTCAAAGCAGCTTTCATGCTGGAGTCTTTCATGATACAAAACTAAGAAT